AAGTTTTATGAAAATTTTTGTTATACATGATCTGCCTCTTCCCTGCACCACCACGCTTCCGCAGCCGGATTCGATTCGGCGACCAATAGAGAATTCGAGTATGCTAACGCGCGTCGAGAGCCTCATCCAGGTGGCGAGGGCCACGACGTCGAGACATTAGCCCGATCAAATTCGCTGTCAATCCAGGGAAAGATACACTGTATCAACTACCGCCACTATTGAAGTCAGGAACCCAGGTATTGGGTAAGAGTGGCTAAACTGACCCGGGGGCAGGAATCATGAAAAAACAGCTGCTAAATCCCCAAATTAAGGGATAGAGGATAATCTCCTCGGGAAATACAGAGGGGGTCTCTCATATGTACAAGGCCTATAAATAGAGCCATGGGAGTTCATTAAGTTTTTTTTACTCTCACTTCCAGACTACTACAGAAAGCTTGTAATCTACAATATATTAGTGCATGCACAAGTGGATATAGGCAAAGAATTTTAGCCGAACCACTATAAACTCTTGTCTCATTTACTTATTCAGCGTCATTAATCCCTAATTAATACGTGATAGATTATTACGAGTGTTCTCGAAGAGTTAACTCCTTGTTAACTGAAATCCACCATCAACATATATATATATATATATATATATAACATGTATAATTAGGGGGTCATTTTGCCATTTCTCTATTAATTAATTACATATATGTCCATTATGCAATAAATGAAAAAAAAAATCCATAAATTGTGATATTAAAATAACATGTAACGAAATTTTTATCTTTTATTAACAACTTTTAAAATTAGTTATACAAATATTGACCACCCGTCGTATATTTAGAATAATATTATCTCAAGAACTATAAAATGAACATAATAACAATATTTTTAAATTAATGATATATCCTAAATACATGAAGTTTAAAAATGATCATTTCTTGAAATTACTTTTTCTTTATTTTATTACTAGGAAAAGAAGATAAATATCTCTTAGAGTGTATGAGTCTGAATTTTTACACATTACTCCTAATTAAAATTCTTCTTAGTCAAATAACTATAATAGTCACAAAGATATTAATCAATATTAAGGAATAAAAATTCAGACTTATACACTCAAAAGTAAGTTCAACAATTTTCTTTTTATTATTTAGATCTAATTAGAGGCTCAAGGTATGTCCCCATCACACACCATACTATCTCGGAGAAAAAAAAGGCTAGAAAAAATGGAGAATTCATTCTTGAGAGTGCATAATTTTAGACTTTTACTCTTTACTCTTGATAAATACCATTTTGTTAGTGTAATTATTTGACTAAAAAGGTTATCAATTAGCCCCATTCATTTCGCCGATTTGAGTTTAGAATTCAAGTTTTGCTACAGTAAAAAACTCTCAGAAACAGTCAAATTTAACTTTTTCACTACAGTAAAAAGCTCTCACATAAATTCACATCTCAATTCAAATTAAAAACTCGAATAAGCGAATTAAACGAGCCATAAAAGTAAAGAGTAAAAATTATGATACATATACTTTTAAGAAGTAAAAGTATTTGTCAAGATTAACTAGAGCCCGAAGGCTAACCTCACCCGAAATCCAGCTAGTGTTGGAACTTTGGGCCGGCAGGCGTACCCGAAGCTTGAATTTTTCTCGGGCTCGGGCTGCCTGAGAAAAACCAATATCGCGGAAGCCCACCGCCGAATGAAAGCTCCCGACCGTCGACCGTCGATTTTTTTTTTCCCTCAGGCCCGAATTCTAGTCCCGATTTGCCCGAAGCCCGATCAACGGCTAGTTTTTTTAACGTTGGCGACCGACCTTAACTATCGCCCGAAAGCCCAACTGCCAATAGCTCTTTTTTTACCATTGCCCGATTTCGGTCCGAACCCGACCCACCGATTCCAAGAAATAACCATTGGATCCGAATTTAAGGGGAAAAATTTTAATTTTTTAACCCAAAAATTTCCCTATAAATAACCTTTATCCCCCAAACATTTTTCTCACCCAAACTCTCTCAATCTCTCTCAATCTCTCTCAATTTCTCTCAATCTCTCTCAATTTCTCTCAAATCTCTCTCACAATTTTTCTAAAAACTTACACATTATCTTAAACCTCTCTCTTTCAAATCGTTCTTATTTTTTATAATGGGTTCTTTTGGTTATGGTAATATTCTTGTTGATGCCAAACGGAACGTGAAAGAAGGGTAATTTTCTACTAATGAATTTATTACGCAAGAAATGCAAACACAAGCAACTGAGGAACCTGCAAATCCGAGTCGTGGTGGAGGTCGTGGTCGCAATGGTGGTGAGCGTGGAGGAGAGACAAGTGCAAGTGCTACTGCAAGTGTTGCAACCTCCAAGAGGAAATGCAAGTGCACCTTGATAGTTTGGGTTCAGTTCGACACAATTGAGGAGGTCGACAATGACGGTAACACTAAACACATAGCTCAATGTAAATATTATCATTCTAAATTATAATGTGACACTATTCACGACACAACACACTTGAGAAGACGCTTCGAAAAGTGTCTTCAAAAGCGTGGCCAAATTGGCGGAGCCGAACTCCGCCAAACACAATTATCTTTTGATCGCGCAACCGGTGGTCTAACCACTTGGAAATACGATCCGCAAGTAGATCGTATGGAAGTTGCGCGAATGATAGCTACATTTGATCAACCATTTAGTTTTGTAGAACATCCTAATTGGCACCGATATATTAAAGTTGTAGACAATCCTAATGCACAGTTTTTTTTCAAAAACTACTTTCAAGAAAGATTTGTTAAAATTATTTAAACAAGAAAAATAAGCATTAGTAAAACTCTACTAGTGGTTGCGTTGCGTTAACGACATACATTTGGTCTGCCATTGCCAACAAAGATTATTTATCTGTAATCGGACATTACTTTAAAGGCTTCGATTTAGATATGAGAATATTAGATTTAAATGTGTTCTAGGATCACATAACGCCGATTTAATATATAATACAATTTTAAATGTAATTGATGAATATAGATTAAGAGATAAAGTGATGGCTATAAGATTAGATAATGCTAATGCAAATACTAAAGCAATTGAATATTTTGAAAATGATTTAAGTTTATTCGGTGATGGTAATATTTTTCACCAACGTTGTGCATGCCATGTAATTAATTTAATAGTTAAATCCGGTTTAAAATTAATGTCTATTCATATAAAAGCAATTAGAGATAACATTGCATGAATTCAAGATAGTAACCTACGTGTACATAATTGGTTTAGGTTCTTACAAGCACTAAATTTAACTCTTAGAGCATTAACCTTAGATATGCCTGTAAGATGGAATTCAACTTATGTAATGCTTCAACAATGCATCTCCTATAATGATGCTATAACAAACTATATTAGTGCAAAATTAAGAACATAACATATAGACGTATATGATTGGTAAATTGCCGAAACTTTGTATCAATTTTTAGGTAAGTTTCATGAAGTTAATTTAAAACTTAGTGGAACATATTACCCAACATCACCTTTAGCTTTAGGTGAACTTTTAAGAATTAATATTTTATTTAGTAAATTTAAGAAGTTTCTATCGCTTCTATGGAAAAGAAATTTAAAAAATATTGATTTAAATTGCCAATGTTGTATGGTTTCTGTACTATTTTTTATTCTAGATTAAAATTAGAAGGTTTAGAAAGTGGTTTAGAAAACTTAAGTGAATTTTTAGACATCAATTGCTCTGACCAATTTCTTAAAATAAAAGAAAAAAAATATTTTCTCTCTATAGTGTTTATGAGAATAGGTTTAGAAACACCGCTTCTGGAGTACAGGAACGGCAACAAAGAGATGAAAACCCGCATTCATTTATGAATATTTTCGGGTTGAAGAAGAAGAAGAAGACGACTTAAACAAAAGCTGGGAGTGGATCTTCATCAAGAGGTGGTGGTGGCGGCGGCAAGTTCAACGAGCTTATGGCGTACCTCAGCGAGAGCTTAGTAGTCGACGATAGTGGAAAATTGTTTGATTTAGTTCAATGGTAAAGGGCACGAGCATTAACTTGCCAAGTCCTAACTTGCTTGCCAATAAATATTTTTTCGATCCCAGTCTCTACTGTTTCATCTGAACAAGTCTTTAGTACAACCAAATGAATATTTGAGGAACGCCAAAACGCATTGCAAATGGACATTATTGAAGCTTTGGTGTGCATTAAGGATTGGGATCGTGTCGATCAACGTTTATAAGATACAATTTCACCGGCAAGCCAGAAATGGATAGATGAATTTAATAGATTAAAATTTCACTTTGAAGACGATCTTTCAGGTTCAAATTAAATTATAATTTCTAAATATTTATTTGCTTTGGATATTGTAATTGTAATATTTAGACTTTGTAAGTTTATAAAATTTGTAATTCATCACAAAATGATTGCATTCTTTTTTCCTTAACAAGTTTTAATCTCAATTAGGTTTTTCTTGATAAGGTTTTTTACGAGACTATCATGAATTACAAATTTAAAAGTTAATATACAAAATTAACTTTTTAAATTGTGTTCATAGTATGTGTTGATTTTACTCTTAATTATAATTTTTATATAATTTTAACACAAAATAACTTAATAATTATTTATATACAAATACAATTAAAAAATAATAGTATATTATATATAATATATATATACAATATTATAAAAATTAAAAAATATAATAAAAAAAAATTTTGGGTTACTTCAAGCAGCTTGGGCAGCTAAGATCAAGCCCGCGGCCCGTCTAAGAGACTTCTCGAGCTCGAGTGGACGGCTCAAATTTTTTAGGCAGGGGAGTTCGGATGTGGGGCATAAATTCAATTTGTTTGAACGGTCGGAGATGATCCGTTCAAAATTTCAGCACTAAATCCAGCCCAACGTCTAAAAAAAATCACCAGCACTCCTAGAACGATCACAGACGGTACATTTGGTTTAAAGATTCATGACATAATTCGAATCATGATTTATAACTTACTATAATATTTTTTTTCATAAAAAATACAAATAGATAATGATTCTAAATCCATCAACTAAATGTCCTCTGAGAAACACTTGCCTCTCTTTGGCGGCGATGGGAATGGGAAGGGCAAGCGACGATAGCAGCATCTCAATCGCCGCCGCCGTAGTCCCCTCATGAAATTCAAAACCCCATCGCTTCACCCTCTCAACTCTCTCCTCTCCAAAAACACCTCCAAATCTCCCATGGCTTCCACTCTCGCCCACTGCTCCGACCTCGACGACCTCCTCTGCTGCGACCAACAGGATGATCGGCTCCGGGACCAATCCCCCGAAGCGCCGCCGTTTTGCGCCGACGAGCCGCCACCGCCGCCGGGATGGTGCCTGAGCGGAGGTGCTGATTCGCGCATCGAACGGGCCTGGGCTCACTGGTCGAGGCTGGGCCGGCCCAAGCTGATCGTCGCCCCGATGGTGGACAACTCCGAGCTGCCGTTTCGGATGCTCTGCCGGAAGTACGGCGCCGACGCCGCCTACACCCCCATGTTGCACTCCCGCATTTTCACCGAGAACGAGAAATATCGCTCACAAGAGTTTACCACTTGCGAGGTTCTTCTTTTATTCCTTAACCCTAATCAATACGTGAAAATTTTTGGTATTAGTTAACCCTAATTTTTTGTTTCCTCTTAATTTCTGATGCTGTTGTTAATTTGGCAGTTCTTTAATGGGCAATCGCTGGCTTAATTTTAATTAATTATTGCAGGAGGATCGTCCTTTATTTGTTCAATTTTGTGCCAATGATCCTGACACTTTGCTGGAAGCTGCTCGGAGAGTGGAGCCGTATTGTGATTACGTTGATATTAACTTGGGGTAATAGTTTCTAACCAAAATCATTGTTATAGGGAAGATTAACAATAGTTTTACACAACATTTTTTTAATCAACCAAAATTAAGAGCGTTTTTGTAACATTCCTGTTTTGTTTAAGAACTTTATCTGTGAAGTTCCTAATAAACTTTTATGTGATTATTACTTTATGTACTTGTAATTTAAGTTTAAACTTTTAAAAGGTATTTTTTACAAATGAGTGGAGAAGATTAATTTTGACAAATTTGAATTAGTGAAAGATGCTTTAAAGTCGAGTTACATTTTGTGTTGAAAGATTCTCAAAGTCTGAACTCTGTTCAGGTGCCCTCAGCGTATTGCTAAGAGAGGAAACTATGGAGCTTTCTTGATGGATAAACTTCCTCTTGTAAAATCTCTGGTAGAAAAATTGGCCCTCAACCTTGAGGTTCCTGTGTCGTGCAAAATCCGTCTCTTCCCGGATTTACAGGATACAATTAAGTATGCTAGGATGCTGGAGGAGGCCGGCTGCTCTCTTTTAGCCGTCCATGGCCGAACGAGGGATGAAAAAGATGGGAAGAAAATCAGGGCCAACTGGGACGCCATCAAGGCAGTTAGAGAGTCTGTCAGGATCCCTGTACTTGCGAATGGGAACACAAGGCACATGGATGATGTTCATCGCTGTTTGGCAGAGACGGGCGTTGAGGGAGTGCTCTCGGCTGAGTCCCTTCTTGAGAATCCTGCACTTTTTGCCGGATATCGAACTGCTGAATGGGTAGTAGACGGTGAAAAAGGCAATAGTGATGGAAAGCTAGACCAGGCAGATTTACTGGTGGAGTACTTGAAGCTATGTGAACAATATCCGGTACCATGGCGAATGATCCGTTCCCACATGCACAAGATGTTGGGAGAGTGGTTCAAGGTTCAACCCCAAGTGAGAGATGAGCTGAATGCACAGTCCAAACTGACCTTTGAGTTTCTTTATGGTTTGGTGGATCGTCTTGGAGAGCTGGGAGTGAGAATTCCACTCTACCAGAAAGATAGTCTCGCAGCAGGAGTTTCACAAAATGGTTTCGCTGCTTCCACTTCGTGACACAATCTCGACAAGATGCCGATGTGCAAAATATCGGATTTTCTGCAGAGTTGGGAAGAAGAATTTTTGTTTGTTTGAATTTTTATCACAGTTTTAACATGAGCAGGTTATAACATTTGGAAGGTCGGGTTTTAAACTAACCTAGCTTAACCAACAGGCAGAGTACATGCGCAGATTTTCACTCTGCTTGCTTGTAGTGATTTATAAGAGACCATTATTTGCAGCCTAGTCTAGGGCCAAAAAACAAGAGATAGATGAATAGGGTGAGCACCCTATAAATCAGTTATTCTTTTTGTTGTCCCACAGTGGGACAAATGATTATTTTAATTTATGTGTTTGCATATGTATTGGTTTTACAAACTATTGATTGTACGGTTTTGTAGGACTATTGATTGTTTTCCTTATAAGATTGTTGTAATATGTATTCTATATCTTTTGTCAAGCTTCTGGATTACATTGTAGTGTATTCCTCTAGCATATGATCAAATTTTCTGAGTAGAGATTTAGATGGAAATTGAATTGGGACAAAACACATGAAAGCAAAGAGTTATCTCCCTGCGTTGAGATAGAGTTTCAATGACAGTAAGTAACGTACAAGGGCAAACAATTTTTTTTTTCTTTTTTCTTTAAATTAAGAGTAATCTTGACAAATAACCCTTGAAAGCGCGCGAGTCATGATTTTTACCCTTTACTTTTGATTCATAACCTTTTTAGTCAAATAATTACACTAACAAAATTGTATTTATCTAGAGTAAGGAGTAAAGATTCAGACTCATGCACTCTCAAGAGTCAATTCTCCATTTTTTTTATTTAAATTTTTTTAAATGAAGGGACAAATCTATGTACACAAGTAAATAGAGTACATAGCCTTGAAGACACAACAGCTTAAGAACAAGAAATTAGCCGAAAGGTCAGATGATCCTTAAATGAAATTTGTCAGGACCTTGCTAACCAAATGCTCTCCATAAACAGCTCTCTTGAATATCTTAGCCCCACCCGTCTTCTCTTTGCAAATATCCAGAGGCTCTACAGCCGTGTCAAAATTTGTCTGCTCAGCCAACAAAAGCACGAGGATGAAGCGAGGGCTCAACACAAAATGACAGCATGTTTTAGTGTCCGAGTACTTTCCAAAGAGCACGAATAATACACGTATTTGTGTTGCTAAATATGGAAACAGTGATGAAATTTACTATGCAATAAGGTGAACACAGGAAAAAGGTGCATTACCTCATAAAAATATGCTACAGAGACTCGATATTTTGTGGAGTTGTTGATAACTCGATGTAGAGTCGACTCGTACAAGCCGTTTGAGTAAATCTGCGGTCACTCCAAACATAAGTATGATCAAAAGATTTAATAAGAGTTTAGGTAATAGATGAAATTTTGTCAGTGTCTCAAGGATTTTACCTTTAACATGTCTCCAATATTGCAGACAAATGCTCCAGGAACCGGAGGAGCTGATATCCATTCGCCAGAGAGGTTTCTCACCTTCAACCAACTTATCAAATTAAACTATGGTGGAAGATTCTTCTTTTTGTTTTGAAGTGGAATTGAAGATGTAGAATACAGATAGCAAGTAGACTAGTAATAGTTTTTCTTGGTTAACTGAAAATGCTTTATAGGGAAAATAGTTTTCCATTTAAATTGAAATAGCAGCCTGTCTATGAAAAGATTTAAATGAAAGCAGGAGACAAAGTTGGTAGAATGGTCAAAACACAAAATTTAGCCTTACCTGAAGTGCAGTTATATCATCATCCTGATTAACCAATGTCAATAAACCTGCCATTTTAACCTCTTTAGGAGACCGAGAAAGACTACAAGTCGATTTTCTAGTTCTTAAATCGTTCTAAAGATGTTATAGCCTTACCATAGTCGGTGTGAGCTCCGCTGGAATTGTTGGACAGTGAAGAAATGCACAAAAAAGAAAAAGACATAAATTACGCTAGATCCAGGTATAATAAAGTTCTACCACTAAGACAGAATTTTTGCATTACCATCCGACATCATTTATGGGCTTCTCTAGGCCATTTTTGCAGGATTTGCCTGGGTAACCGATGATACGCGTTACCCAGAATGCATTTCCCGCTCTATCGCCTTCAAATTCGTATGGAGATCCACCCAAAGCCAAAGCAATACCACGCATTATGTTTCTTGAAAGGTCTGAGATCAAGCACAAACCAAAAGTTGTGATCAGAACCATACGAAAACATTGAAAGATAGGTAATTAAAAAAATCTGCTTTTCTCTGTGATCAGAACCATACAAAAACATTGAAAGATAGGTAATTAAAAAATCTGCTTTTCTCTGGGAAGCATACCTGTACATAGTTTGATGTAATCCTCCATAATTTGCTTGAACTTTGGAGGATCCAGTGGCCTGCATTAAAAGAACAAGAAAAACGAAAATTAGCATTCAGAGAAAACAATATCCTATATTAGGTCAATTACAACGTTAAGAACATTAACACCTTGAAGTTAAACCTTAGAGTCTGCCATGTGCTAAAGTATAAACTCATTCTTTATCACCCAGAAAAAGGAGATTTGAGGCGATATGAGCCTCCTAACCGGAGAAGAAATTAATCATGCAATCGAAGTTCATAGAAATTAACTGTACAAAATATGCAGTGAAGGATCAAGCGAGAATTGAACATACTAGAGAGACCAGCTAATCATGGAAGAAATATCAGATCATTTGATTAGGAGGTCCTTGGGCTAGACAATACTATGAAAATAAATGATATCCCGATTGAGAAATTGTGACAAGGAGTTTGTTAGGAAAGCCCTAAATTTTGCATACCATTGGTTACATCCTTCCATAGTTTTGCCGAGATCTCCATGTTCCCCTGGTTTCAGTTCTTTATAGCACTGTTGCAAAGTAGCAATTCAACAATAAGAACAACAGTTTACAAGCAGCAAATCAATATAATAATAACCATACTACAATAGATCACATATGCTTGCCAAATATATGCAACATACAAGTACTTTCTAGTGTCCATAGACTTAGTTTGGGATTGTCGTACTTTTCGAAGTAGTTCTACTTCTACTTATAGCAAAAAGGAAAGTATAGACATGTTAAAAATTTAAAAATCTTGCTCCTCAAATAACTATAAATGTGCTTTTTTTTTTTTTGTTACGGCTATAAATGTGCATTTGAGCGTATAGTTTTTTTGTTTTGTTTTGTACTTGTACCAAACTCATTACTCGCATAGTGTTATCTGCAAAGAACTTTTGACGCCTCGAAAAGCAATAACAATAACATCATAAGCTCTGGATATTGGAAACACCAATTGGTTGTAAAACCTACATCAATAGCTTCATGGATGTCCGGTACACCTTTAGTTATGTTTTCTCCAATCCTTTGATATCCTCTGCACGAAGAAAAACTTAGCCCGATGTTATAATAAAATCTCAGCAGATTCTAGAGATAAACCATCATATCAACACTCAATTTACAAATTGCAAATGCAAGAAGCTGTTCCGCTAAACCTGTATCCGGCGTCTGGAGTCATCTTTATCTTTATCTTCTCTTCATATGGAAGTCGAAAAAACTTGCAGGTCAGCTCTCTTACTTCTTTCAAAAGAGAATCAGGTATGCCATGTCCCTTCTGCTCAGCCATGAATCAAAAGCACCCAATTAAAATGTTTTGCAACAAGTCATGATTACTTAAAATAAAGAAACATAAATGAAGGTTTTTTATTTTTTTTGCCCCTTTCTTTTATGGAGCCTTTTACAATAGGTCATAACCTATCATAGTGCATATTTTCGAATGTTAGATTTGGTCAAAATCACATTTAAACAAAAAAGGTCGCAAAATGGACAGAACTTGATACAAAACTGACGGTTCAAAACAAAGCCTCACCAGTACGGTATTTTCAAATCTCATTCTTACAAATTAACATCTATTTTGAGAAATTACACGACATATCTATCACTTTACAAATAATATTCTAAAACAACTTGTTTTTTTCTCGTCTCTATGATGTCTTTGGTCACCAACAAATTCTTTCTTTTCTTGGAGAGACTCATTAAACAAGCAAAACAGGACATGAACTCATAAACGCGCCTCTTAACAAACTGAATTGGGAGGTTGAGTTCATAGAAAAACAGCTCCTCACAGGGAGGAAAAACAAAAAATTCATGGAAAAGAGAATATGAGACCTCCAATAACAACATTTAAAGGCTACTTAATATATATATATATATATATTTCATGGGGGTATATATTTATAGGCTCTTGCGACTTCACCACAAAAGCAATAATAACTTTTCATGACTAGTAGTCTTGTATGTTACTGAGATATTGAAAAAAAAAAAAAAAAAAAAAAAAAAAAAAAATTTCCTAGAAAATCCCAAGTACCACATAGAAGAAGCCAGCTTCTCTGCAAGTTTGATCCAATTGCTTGACAACGTCATTGACACCTAAATCTTCAGCCATTTTCGGATCATCGGACTTAGCCAAAAGAGGAGAAATATCTGCATGCAAAAAAAGTGAACAAAAATAAAAATATGTAATACATATGGAGATACAAATTCAGCGTATTGGGGTAACAGAGATTCTGGCTAGAATTAAGCGATGTGAGTTTGTTCACCGATGACGGGGATGGACTTGAAATCGGTGGCCATGGCGGTAGATAACCCTCCTCTTCGTTATCCTCTCTAACTCTAACTAGTTGCAGAGTTTGCGAGCAAAATAATGATTAAGCGAGCCTACGAGATTCCTAAGAAATTCATAGAATATTGCTAATGATTGTTCCGTCACCTTTGATGATGACGCAAATAATCTTAGGTGGATTGTGCTTTTAAGTGGGTAATGTTTGTTTGTGTTTTGTGTGTGTGTGTGTGTTTTTTTTAAATAATTATATTTTAATGGGGTGGTTACAAAATAGTGATGAAAGTTTGGATTATTTAAAAATTTCAGGTCGGACTGATCTAACAATAAATGGGGAGCCTGGCCAGTTTAAAACTTTTGTAAGGTATTTTCTTAAAAAGATAGTACTTAGATTGACTCGGATCGGTTCAAATAAATTTATACTATAATGATATAGTTATTAGTTAATGATATAAAAATGATGTAAAATTTTGCTATTCTTATAATATTTTAAAATTTTTGTTAAAATTAAATTTTGATATCAAAATTTTACTATTTGTGTAAAACACCCGTTACAAAACTAATTCTTAATGTTTTAATATTATTTAGCACATCAACCCTCTAAATTGTTTGATTTAAAAAAAAAAAAATTTCAATGATAACCTTGTGTCTCACATAATCATTTGTGCCATTTTCCATCTCTCATGTCTCCATATCTTCTCTCCTCTTCCTCTCTACCATGAGGAATAATGGAAACCATTTTTTTATGAGATTTGGAAAAAAGGCATTGTGGCGTAGCTGGATCTGGTCGTGAAGAAACCAGATATGCAACGACTGGATCTCTCCTCCCTTTTGCCTTCACACTTACAACTATGACTGCGGCAAACTAGTGACCGTGAGATCGACATTGCAATCTTCGTTCACAAGGCTCTATCGTGACGATTTGGATAGCGACGGTCTCCACCTTGATATCTCGTGCCACGGAGCACGACGGTGGGAGCATAAGGGTATAGTAGCATAGTTATTAGGGTCGATAATATGGGTCATGACACGATGACACAACTCGAAAACGACACGAATTTTACAGGTTAGGGTTGAGAAAAAAGAGGTTCGGGTCAGAATTGGATCGACATGAAATTGACACGAAAAACACGGGTCAATTTCAGATTAGACCTGCCTAACCCGAACACGACACGAAACTCGTAAAAAACTAAAAATACATATATTTTTCATTGCATATTTTAAATTTTATTATGAACTTGTGATATCATGATAGTTATACTCAAAATCTTATACTATTATTTGCTTAATTTCAATGGATGTTATTGTAATTTAGTGTGTTATGAATTTTAGTTATTTTTAATATGTAAAAAACTAAATAAAAGTATACAATTTTCATGTCAATTTCGGGTTCACGTGCCAATTTCGTGTCACGGGTCATTTTCGAGTCGTGTCGTGTTTGTGTTGCGGTTTTTAAAAAATTTTGTGTCACGGTCGTGTTCGGATTGACTGTAAATTTAAAAAAAATGATCAAAACACGACACGTGACACGAATTGCCACCCCTAATAGTTGTTGAGGTGGGAGGAGAAATAATGAATGGCTTATATGCAGTGGCGGAGTCAACGTTTCATTTCAGTGGAGGCGTACACTTAATTTTTTTTAACAAATTATCTTAGTGAGGGCATATAAAAAAAATATATTTATTTTAGTAGGGACATATATTATTTTAGTGAGGATTTAAGTGTAAAATTTTAAAATTTTTAAAAGTAATATTTAAAAAAAAAAAAAAATTAAGTGGAGACAGTGCTAGTGCTGTACTTAAATCCGTCCTGCTTATATGCCACTAATACACTTCTAGTGATTTGTAACATGTGATAGCTATTTTTGTCTTTCCAAAATTATTCAACTTTTAAAAGCGGCCGAATTATTTATTTTAGAAAGCTATCATTTATGCACAAAGAACCGCTTTTTATGTATTATAACTTGATTTCTCGGGATTTACACTCCATTTGTCTGGAGTGATCGATAGAGTTTTTTGTTGATAGATAGAGTTTGAATGGTAGAAAATATGGAGAATGAAGAGGACTCCATCAATCCTTTTGACACTTGACACATAAATTTGTGCATCACTTTCATGGAATTTTTGTAGATGTCCTTGACACTTGTTGCCTTGCATCTCTCCTCTTAATTAAAAAAGTCACTCTTGTTATGGTTCGTGAACTTTTATAAAATCGACACGCATCGCTATATGGACTTTTACAACATATACATTCCTCTGCCATATGTCCCTTAATCTTATGCTTTGTAGTTAAACAAATATATGCTTCTCAATCTTGGCTACTCTCTTGTAAACTTTTATTGGATTAACATGAGTGAATAATCACGAGCCATGATATCTGCATGCCAAAAAAGAAAATAAGCTTTCGGTATTTCGATTAAAAAAAAAAAACCTTCAATTGTATTACACTTTTACAGATTGCCCAAAAAAAGGGAAAAAACGAAAAAGAATTATTTTTTACATCCCCATTCCCCACAATGAAAAAAAAAAAAAAAACCTTCTAAACCCCCATCATAAATATCCATCCTTTCTCTCCCCCATCCTCCTCATAACTCCATCCAATTATCAAACCAGTAACACTAACGATTGAAACATTATTTGTACGTACGACCAATATAAAAATAAAAATAAAAATAAAAAACCGCGGAAAAAACAACAAACGACAACTAAGACGCCGTCGTAGAATTCTGGCTACGACAGAAATGGAAGCTATTTTCATCCATTCTCTCCACAACATAATGCCCAAGCAAATCACTCGCTTCCACCAAATTCTCCTTACACAAAAACTCATCCCCACAAACCCTCTCCAAACCCCTCCTAAAATCATGCACGAAAACATGCGTTTTCGCATTCCCTCCTTTTTTACTCCTCGCCAAAACTCCCGCCGTAAATATGGGCTGGATCCTCCCCGGCGCGTCGGCCCAATCCCCTCTGGGCCCATCCACCAAGATAACGTCCCAGTCCACTTCGTACACATGGTTGGGCAGATCATTCAGGCCCAACTTACACTCGGAGAAGAGGAGATTCTGCACGGGGCGGCACTCGTTCTTAACCTGCACCCGCGCCGCCATGATCAGCTCCCTCATCTCGCTCGTCTTGGTCGTGTACTGAACGTCGTAGGCGTCGATCTCGGGGTGCTGCTGCTCGTAGTAGGCGGCGTAGTAGCGGTTCTCATCGATGAAGACGGTACGGCCGTTGTGGTTCAGCGCTTTCCAGAGGAGCGTCTCGTGCGTGAGGCCGAACACGAGGAGGTTGCACGGCGGCGAGCATTTCCTCAGCACGTCGGCGATCGGCTTCAGCTCGCCATACGACATCTTGAAGGTGTCGTTCGACCGCGACGCGTAGTGGAGGAGCGTGTTTATCACTGTCGCCGGCAACGCCGCCGCGGCAGGGACTACGGCGGCGGAAATGGTGGTGGAGGAAGCGGTAGACGAGGAGGAAGAGGAGTCGCGGGTGTAGATGAGGGTGAGGAGGAAGGCGACGGTGAAGAAGGAGACGAAGGCGAGGAGCCAAAGGCGGTTTGAGTTTCCTTGTTTGAGGATGTACGGATGGAGAAGGATTAGCTTTGTGTTGTTGGTGTTATTGGCGTTCTTCATTTTTATTTTTTTTTATTTTTTAAGAAGAAGAAGTTAGAGAGAGAATGAGATTTTGGAGTTTCTCTCTCTATCGTTTTATGTTTGAAGATTGCTGAGTTTTCCTTCTGAGGATGGTGTGGGGAAAATGGGATTGATTTTAAAAGGATGTGGAATGTCGTTTGCTTGTTGCTCTCTTGGCAAACAATAAATTGAAGCAATGTGAGACAACCAAGTAACACAGAAAAAAAAAAAAAAAAAAAAAAGTGTGTGGTGTTGTAACCTAACGCAATCACATTCACAATCTTTTTATTTAAAACTTCTAGAAATGAAATGAGGATTAGGAATTGAAAAACACATTTTTGTTGCTTTCTTTGTTCAAAATTAAGTATGCATGGTTGTTTTCCATGCAATGTGATTGGATGTTCCATCTTTTTATTTTTTTATTTTCCATATCAAAAGGAGTATTAATGGCGAGTTTTGTTACAGTAAAAAGCTCTTATAAACAGTCACATTTAATTTTTTTATTACAGTAAAAAATTCTCATATAAAGTCACATTTTAACTCAAATTAAAAATTCGAATCAACAAACATTTTAACTTAAATTAAAAATTCGAATCAACAAATTAAACGAACAGTCTAGAATGTCAACTGATCCAATATTTGACTCGGGAGAAAACAAGGAGTAGTTGGATTGGAGCTGGTGAAGGGAAGGTGGAAAAGAGAATAGCTCTAGCGACCCAATAACTAATTACAAGCATCAAGTCGCTTTTCCTTCTAAAATTTAGGTTCACTTCTCACGTAACCTCTTTAAAATATGTTCATTTTATTGAAGAAGGTGGTCTGCTATGAATTGACTCTTCACCTGCAACGCATTCCATTATATGTATATGTATATATACAGTGACGGATTCAGATTCGACTTCAGTGGGGCACAAATAAATATAATAAAAAATACATATAATAATAATTATATTATAAATTGTATTATATATACATAATAAAAAGATGCATTTTTAATGGAAGTCAACAACTTGATACAATTTTACAAGCTTGAAAATATTAGAACTGTTGATAAAGATAACGAAGAAGAGAGTTTTTTGAGGAGGTGAAGGGAAAAATTGAGAATAAGGAAGGTGAAAAAGAATCGAAAGGTACTGATACATATGAAGAGTTTTTAATTTTTATAAAAAAAAAAAAAGCAATGAGATAAAGAAAGGTATGAAGGTTGGTATTTTGAGAGAGATGATAAAAATGCATAAAAATAGTATATAGAGAACATAAGAGGAAAGGGAAGTTATGCTTTTACCCTAAAAAACAAAATTGAATCGAATATTGATAAAAGAAAAATAAAGAATTAATGTCATTCGTTAGAATTGACTTGTATATATGAAGGATTTATAGTTTCCTAAAGGAAAATCAAATGTTGTCATTATGATTTTTTTTTTTAAAAAGCTTTTAAAAATTTGGGTAATCTTGAAAAATACTTTTAAAAAGTGCATGATCAAGATTTTTACCCTTTATTTTTAATTCATAACATTTTTAATCAAAAAATTATACTAATAAAAAGTATTTATTAAAAATAAGTGGTAAAGTTCCAATTCATATACTCTGAAGTAAATTTTCCATTTTTTAAAAAAAATTTTGAACAAAAAGAGAGTTTGACTGGGCTTGGGGCCTTGGGCCTTGGGCCTTGGGAATGGAGTGAGAGGGGGCAATCTGGGCACTCCATACAATTTGATAGACCACACCCATTTAGATATCTTCCACAAGTAAAAGAAAAAGAAATTTAGTGGGACACGTGGCCCCACAACTCTATATGTGCGTCCGTCCCTATATATATATATATATATACACACAAATATATGTATACATGAAACTATGAGAGACTTTGTTTTATATATAAATATATGTATATATATGTAATACAGTCTAATAGTCTCATGTATATGTATAATTTATGCAGTAAAAGAAAAGAAAACAAGAAGGAAATAGACAACGCAACTAAATGGTCCTTATTTAAAATATTTGGATTAATGAAAAAGTGTCTTTATGTATGAGAACAAAGTGAGAAGCGAAATCATGAATTGTTGAACCTCGATTATGTTGTGAAGAAAAACAAATGAGTGTGACCTAGCTGGCTAGTGGACAAAAATGAAGAACAAGTTCCATCAGAATATAATTAATTAATTAATTATCGCTGAATAAAAGAAATCTGGCTGGTATACCGGTTTTATTTAACAGAGATTCTGCTCCTATTTATATTTCACTTTTTTTCATCAACTTATTATTTGCTTGAAACATCTTTGTTACAGTCTACCTTATGGTAGTTTGATACAAGTGCCAAAGGAAAAAAAATATATTCAGTATAATATAAACTATATTCAGTATAATATGAGAATAAGATGTTAGGTTCAAATAAGTCACACTGCAGAAATAATATATTGTGGACAATTTATTTTCTGAGGGATTCATAAATGTACCGCTTTTTTAAACTTCTTTTGTACGCCGCCCTCTATTCTTATAACTCTTTATTTTCATAAGAGCAAATGTTATTCATTATTTGAATTATGTCAATTTTAATGGTAATTGCTATTTTTTTATCCGATTTTTCCAAATATTGATAGCTCACGAGAGCAAAACAAACACAACACATGGGACTAAAGGCCAATTTAGTCTTGTTATAGATTTTAAAAGAGCTAATTGCTATTGGTTGTGGTATAGAAAAATGCAATTGTACGTATAGCAACGAAGTATTTGAATTATTAAGTAAAAATTACACTAAACTAGAGTTGAAATAAAACAATTTTTTAAAATATTTTAGGAAAGAAAAAAATTACATAATAATTATTCTAATGATATTCGTGGTTATACTACAAAATGACTTAGTAGTTATTTTAATGATATTAATTTTACTATTTGTAAAATATTCTAAATTTTTGCTAAATTTCAATATGACGTAAAGCTTGCTATATATCTAAAAAAAAATCCTTTGATTAACTGTAATATCATAATGTTCAGTAAAAGTGCAAGCTGATTCAGTTAATGTATGTTTAAAACTATCAAAATAAACATAATATGAGAATTTAAATAAATCCATTAAAGATGAAAGTTCAGGACAGACCGAGCCAGTCTTAAAAAGAAGAGGATCGGTCCATCTCGATCCAACTTGGCCTGAAATTTATAAGACGTCATCAAGTTTAGGCATAAAATATATGATAAGCAATAGAAGCACAAAACTATATTTTAGAATATACATGCTTTCTATTTCATGTTCTACACTTCTTTCACTAAAGTAATGTTAGGTATCAACAAATAACTAGAGAAAACATATTAACATAACAATTTTAGTATATCTATGGCCAGAGCCATAAGTATAATTTAAAAATGAAAAAATTACAGAATTTACTGTTAAGAGTGCATGAGTTTATATTTTTACCATTCATTGATTAATATCATTTTGTTAGTATAGTTATTTGACTAAAAATGTTATTAATCAAGAGTAAAAGTAGAAAATCTTAACTCATGTACTTTTAAAAGATATTTGTCTCCCCTTTATAAACTGCCTCATCTTGGGCCATAGGAGCAAAATTTAAATAGCAAAATTGGAATATAGAAAACATTTGAAATATTATAAGAGGGGTATTTATTTTTGCCTAAATATCATTTTTGTCTTTTTTATTATTCAAATACTAAAAACATCATCTGTGTTTATAAAATTAAACTCAAAATACCCTTGAAGTAATTAAATTTTTAAAAATACCATAATTGCCCTTCTCAATTTATATTAATTATTATTTTAGATATGATTTAAAGGTTAAATAAAAAAATTAAAAAGTTTTCAAATAAATAGTCCAATCAAGCAACTACTTCAATTATTTTGAGAGTTTTTTTATTTTTTTAAGATTGATTTTATTTAATATTTTAGTTTAATAATGTTTTTAAATTTTATTTAATGAAGGTTGGAAACGATAGTCTTTGGTATTTTTAAAAAAATAATTGCTTCAAGGGGTTTTTTAAGTATGATTTTATAAATACGGGGTGTGTTTTAAGTATTTATAAAATAAAGGGGCAAAAATTGTATTTAGACAAAACATAAGAAGTGTTTTGGATATTATTCCTTATAATAATAGCAAAGTTTGATATCATTAAAATAATAACTATGTAATTATATTATATGGTGATGTCATTACGATAATTATTATTTGATTTGATTTATATTTATATTTATAATATTTTAAATAAAATATAAATTTTGTTATGCAGTGTAATTATCTCTTTTTGTTTTGAAGCTGAAATCCCTTTTGCAACATCTATCAAAACTGAAGTCCCATCAAACAAAAGGAAGCTTATCTTACCAAAAGAGAGAGAGAGAGAGAAAAAAAAAGACAAAACAAAAGAAGCTTATGCCATTTAATGTGACTATGGGAAGAATTCTACAATTAAATGAGGAGGGGCCATAATAATTTACTAGATTACCATTAGTAATCTAGCAAATTATGTTGCCCTTTTCAACGCACATCACTGGCGCCTCCATCGCATGTCCCAAAGTAATCCAAGTGCTTACAACCAGTACTCCAATACTTTTTTAAAAAGTAATCCATTAAATTAAGGAGCACATTAAGTTGAACTTTCTTAGTCTGCCTTCTACATTAACAATAAAGGTAATGAACAAGGAGAGATCACAAGAAAATATATAATGCAGTTAGGAATTGATTAAATTAGATTTATATACTTTGGCTACTTTTTTCTACACTGTAAAGACCATATTTTTTTTCTTTTTTTTTTTCTTCTCTCTCTTGGAGTATCACGAGAAGCAGACAATCAAGTAGGAAGAACCGAGGGAGCTACACTGTTTTTATTTTTTTATTTTTTTATGATATGGAATCAGCTTTACAAGCATCTTCGGCCTCGTTCAATTTGTCGATTTGATTTTTCAATTTAAGTTGAGATGTGACTTTATGTGAGAGCTTTTAACTGTAGCAAAAGGTTAGATGTGACTTTTTATGAGAACTTTTAACTGTAACAAAATTAAAATTGAAAACTTAAATTAGTGAAATAAATGAGACCTTCGTTGATATAACCTTCAACTCCGATTGATACAACGTCGTCAA